CAGAGAGAGAGACAGAGAGAGAGAGAGAGAGAGAGAGAGAGAGAGAGAGAGAGAGAGAGAGAGTATAAGTATATAGGAAGCGAATGAAATAAATTGTTTTTTATTTGCGCAGAAAATAGTCCATCAACGTGAAATACGCATTTTCCCCGACGTTATCATTTTCAACGTTCGTATTTTTGCGCGTCCTTGTGATTTGTTTCATGGCTTCAATAAACACCCGTCGCGTTCGTGTGCGCATGCGCAAACGCCGCACAGACACACGTTTAGGATATTTATAGTTATGTCGCAGACGACGTGATATCAAACGCGTAAATTCGTTTCAACGCTGCCGGTGTTAACAACGCACCTACCGCCCTGCGCTGGGATTTTCGAGTTTTTACCGCGTATTCACTCATTGATTTACCACATTTCCTTTGCAGGAAAGCTAACTAAACTGACACATTTACTCTGCATGAGTGTTATCTCACCCTTGCACGTTCAAATAGTATGGAAATCGTTCCCCTTCATAATAATATATTGATATAAAAACAGGGCAAAAACGAATATTTCGTGCATTTTCGTCTCAAATACCACTGCACCGGTGGATTTTCGCGAGTTTGTTATGATATCATTCGACAGGATACTATTTTTTCCGGTAAGAAATGTAACAACGCTTACACATGTGTGGGGTATGAACCTTGTTTTGTCTTTCCACATGCAAAAATACTTCGAAAATTTATTATTATTTTTTTTAAATTTTTTTTTATTATTTTATTATTAATTTATTATTATATCCCGTTAGGAAAACGATAAACAAACCTTGTTGAACCGACTAAATTGCCCCGAATTTACCTTGAGTCTCAAAACTCCTAATTTCACGTTCGAATCAACGGTAAAGCATATATTGTATTCTTTAGTTCATGTAAGACTGGGGCAATGTAGACTGTCCTTGTTTAATTTCTAGGTAGGGAGTGCCTGCCATCTGTTGGAAATCAGAGTAACAAAAACCAACAATCTATCCACGAGCTGACTCGTGGATCCGCAGGGGTGCGTTTTGATTGTTCCCACGAGCTGAGTCGTGGATCCGCGGGGAACGTGTTTTAAAGGCCTCTTTCCGCTTTATTCGAGCGTCTGAGCGGATAAAATTCCAAATTACGTTAATTAATTTAAGGCTGCGTGCGTTCGTGATTGCCCTGCACATGCACGGCTGACACAAGCAAATATGCTGATGTTGCTTTTATTCCGATTTTTATTTGTTGTTGTAAGCGTGACGAAGAATGCTATGAGTGACGCTTTGTATCTGGCGTTTCTCATCCTCCCAAAAGTCGTGTCACGAATTCAATGCGCTAATCCTTCCAAACCTGCATCGTCGAGCGGTAACTGAATATTTGCACACGGTCTCGCTGTGATTTGCTCCCTTGCGATACATCGGCGGTAAAAAAAACTTTAACTAAACCATCATACCGCCATCATGCAGCAGATTAAGCCGCCATCTTGCCTATCACGCGCGCACGCGCACCTATGAGTATTTAGCGTACTGACGCGGCATGTTGTCATCGTAATTACTTTTACCCGTATCACCTGCAGCAAACATTCGTGCTTTCAGATACAACAAGCATACCTTACAATTTCCACCTTACCTGCGCTGCGTTAACTGTCTTACGCTGGCTCGATACCAGGTCAAAGGGGTTTGTCGATTCGAAAAGCAGAATTTCATCGAGTTTTAATTATTTATTTTATTTATTTAGAAAATGTTTTTCTCTCCGTATGATGTGCGCGTGCAGGTTTGCTAAATCCGCGGTTTCGGCGATGGTTAAAAAAGTTTGAATTATGGGGTAATTCAATGTTTTTTGCTCGCATAAAAAGGCTGATTACGCACACATCGCGTCTCTTGATTTGGTCAGCAAAATAGAGCATACGATGTGGTAACTGGACCTCGAAAGATAAACGCGAAATCATCGCAGCACTAATAATTCGATCGCGTTTCTTTTGTACATAGCAGACACGTATTATATTGACATGTACTCATTATAGTAGAACCTGCGCCGTTTAATCGATTGTTGCTGCGAGCAGCGAACGCAATGCTCGTTATCTCTAGATGCTATTGCACTTTCGTTTCAGGTTGCCTAACATTGTTTATAACCTAACAATTTCTACCATAATATTTTCGTATTTCAGCTAGCATTGTTGTTTTATCGAGCATTATTTTTGCTTAGCACTTTATAGTCTTTTCACTTGGGCATTGTCTCTAACTAGCAGTGTCTTTTAACTCGAATTATGTTTCCCTAGAATTGTCCATCAAGGATTGTCTGTCATCTAAAATTGTCACCAAACCTTGGAATAATCATTCTGAGACCAAACCATACCAAACCAAACGAACCACCAAAACCAAACATTGTCTATGACGTACGTGGCATTGATCGCCAGCTAAAATAATTGACTTGACATCTAGTTCCGGCTCTGCTTTCTTCACAATTGGTTCTGCCTAACCGCCCATGACACCTGGCTTGTCCTCTATATCCATATTCATCTATATCACACACGAAACCATATTATCTGACAGTCAATGTTGGTCACCTTAGCGGAAGTGTAGACATAGCCCGAGGCTCACAACTAACAGGTGAAATTGGTTGCAAATGGTGTACTGCTGTACAGGAAATTTCTCTCCATTACTCATAATAGATGTGCTATTAGTTTCCGGCGAGATTTTAACATCATATTGTAATACAAATTACAAGCACCACATCCCGGTGGTGGGGGGGGGGGGTTCTGCCCATATATTCGTCCTCGTTCGCCCACAACGCACCCTCACTCTTCATATGTATGTTTCGCAAACACACGCTTGCTTTGCTTTACTTCATATCAGTTTCACATATCACATATTCTTTCGGCTAAAAAACTAAACTACCTGGCTTTACCCAAGCTAGGTCACACCCCATGGCTAGCTATAGCCCAAGCTATGGCAATCAAGCAACAAGATTTCTCTGCGGCCGTCTCAGCTAAGCTGTGCCGTCGATCAACAGGACTTCTTGTCAAGGGAC